GTGCACCCAGAGGTGAGCAGAGCAACGTTCCTCAATGAGGCTCCTTGCTAAGGCAAGGCTTGAGAAATTGCAGCCAGCTCAGCCTCTCAGCTTACAGGCTGGTTGGAGACAACCGCTTGAGTTCTTAGCTCTTGCATCTAGTTCCTGCTTGTCGTTTGACCATTGACCATTGGACTATCTCAGGAGTCTTTAAACCTGCCCCTTTTATGACTTGTGGACTTCAACTCCCAGAATTCCTCAGCCAGCGTGCCTGGGAGTTGAAGTCCACAAATTCTGGGAATTGAAGTCCACAAATCATAAAAGGGCCAAGTTTGAAGACACCCTCCCCCCCCCCCCGGACTACCTGCTTTGGCATTGTGTGACTCTTGCACCATATTTGAACTATACTATGGTTTCTTGGGCTACTTTATTGTTTCTTGGATTGAATTTGGCTCTCCTGCTAGTACTGTGTGTGCAATCAGAGATTGATTCTTATCTTATATATATATATATATATATATATATATATATATATATATATATATATATATATATATATATATAATCAGAAGTGCTTAATATGTTATCAGCAACATATTGTCTTGGTTCCAATATTTAACTTACTAATACAGGTTAAATTCCTTTCTCTCTACCTTGTTTTTCTAGCCATTAATAAAAAGTATCCCGTGTTCTAAAGCAGTGTTTCCCAAACTTGACAATTTTAAGGCATGTGGACTTCAACTCCCAGAATTCCACAGCCAGCATGCCTTAAAATTGTCAAGTTTGGGAAACACTGTTCTAAAGTATACTGAATCTTCTTTCTCTTTCATTTTCAATGTCAATCTGTCCATTTCTGCCCAATTTAAAAAACAAAATTAATTAACTCTTCCTCCATTGATAAATATTCATTTTTTCCAATGTTGAGCAAATACAATTCTCGCTGCAGTTAATACATGAAAAATTAGGTATATGCACTCTTTCTCATAATTTCCTACAATTATGCCTAACAAAAATAATTCTGCCTTAAAATCTGTATGTTTTTTTCTGTCATTTTCTCATTCTTGACCAGAATTTTTTAGCTTTGGGGCATGTCCACCCAAGATGGTATTAAGTGCCTGGTTTTTGTCTACATTTCCAACAGTTGCTAGGTATGTTTTTAAACATTTTTGCTAACTTCACCGGTATTAATTGCCATCTATAGAACATTTTGTATAGATTTTCTTTGTACGCCCCTGCTTTTACCTGTTCTTATCTTTCTAATATAATTCTAATATATTAATTATGCAAGAGTTGCCCTTTTAAATCTCCCATAATGCCCTGGGGAGCACTACTACTACAGATAGTCCTCACCTTATGGCCCCAATTGGCATCAGAATGGCCACGGCAAAGCTAGGCAGTTCTTAACTGAGCTGCCCCTGATTTTGACACCTTTTTTGGCTGTGGTGGGTTGGACTGTTGCAGTCATTAAGGAAATCACATGGTCATGAAACGGATCGGGCTTCTCTCATTGACCAGCTGTTGGAAGCCCCCAGGGAAGGTTGCAAATGGCGGTCATACGACACTGGAATACTGCAACCATTGGAACTACATTACACTGGCACATAGATTTTCCACACGGGATCTCGTCCCCAACTTGGTCCTTCAGGTCTTCCAATGGTAGAATAGAATAGAGCTAGAAGGGACCGTGGAGGTCTTCTAGTCCAGCCCCCTGTTCAAGCAGGAGAACCTATACCATCTCAGACAGGTGGTTGTCTAGTCTTTTCTTAAAAATCTCCAATGATGGGGTGCCCACGATTTCTGGAAGCCGGCTGTTCCACTGGTTAATTGTTCTCACTATTAGGAAGTTTGTACTTAATTCCAGGTTGCTTCTCTCCTTGATTAGTTTCCATCCATTGTTTCTTGTCCTTCCCTCTGGTGCTTTGGAGAATAACGTGACCCCCTCTGCCTTGTGGCAGCCCCTCAGATACTGGAACACTGCTATCATGTCTCCCCTATTTCTTCTTTTCTTTAGACTAGCCAAACCCAAGTCCTGCAGCCGTTCTTCGTATGTTTTAGTCTCCAGGCCTTGGATCATCTTAGCTGCTCTTCTCTGGATTTTTTCCAAACTCTCATGATGGTGTTCCCATCCCCACTGTAGCCGAGAACATCCACCTCGCTACCGCTCCTCCCTCTTCTAATCTTTCCTGCCAAAGTCACAAACATCATGCATACCTGGAGAGCATCATGGAATTGCAATGAGTTGCATCATACGCATCATAATTGACATCACGTTGCGTGTGACATCACTGCCTTCCTTTCTGGTCTGCTCCTGTAGAAACCTATAGCCATAGCGTTGGACAGAATACCCATCTTATGCATAGGAGTTTTGTTATTTATTTATAAAATGTATTTATTTATAAATATTACTTATAAAATGTATTGCCTGCCCATCTTACCATAGGGGAACTCTGAGTGGCTTGCAGTTAGATCTAAGTTGAAACTTAAAAAGTTAAAACCAAACTTTAAAACCAAAGACACATGGGGTGGGCGGGGGGCAGAGGTGGGATCTGTTATTACTCACTCAACCACCTCAGTTGCTCTGTTCCTCCACTGAGGCCCCAAGCCCACTGGCACAGCCACCTCTTTAGCTTGTGGAAGAACAGGGTAGAACGACAACTCATGACCTTCTTCTACCGGTCTACTATTGAAAGCGTCTTCACACACTGTATTGTGGTTTGGTTTGCTGGCTTGACAGCCGCGGACAGGTATTACATAGGGTGGTGAGCACGGCACAGAACATCGTGGGCTGTTCCTTGACACCACTGGATGACATCGCCAGGGCCCGTTGCCTTGGTAGACGGAGGAACATTGTCAGGGATGACTCACAACCTGGTTGGTACCTCTTTACTCTCCTACCATCAGGTAGGAGATAGAGAAATATAGCCAGCCGTACCAACAGGCTGAAGAACGGCTTCTACCCATGGGCTGTGAGGCTCTTGAACGGGACATAATTTTATGCATGAGACTCATGAGGCCAGCATGCTGTGCAATTAGCTCACAGGGTGTAATAGGTTGGTGGATTTGTAGTCACTGTGAGTTGTGGTGGTGGGGACACGGAGGCAGGCTCAGCCAATCTCACTGTATACATGTTATACTTTGATAATAAAGGTGCGTTGATTCATTCCTTTAGCTCCTTGAGAGATCCTAGTTTTCATCTCTGGACTTGTGTCCAGGGGATTCTGATAGCCCACATTTTTCACTGAGGAGCTCAAAGGGGCACAGACGGCACTCCCACCTCCACTGTTTTCCCCCATATCATCCCATAGACTGGGCTGGCAAAGACTGGCTGAAGGCCACTAGGGCTTCCTTACTGAAGGTGGATTAGAATCTGGATCTTACCTGCTCCTAATCCAGCAATTTCTTCTCCAAGGCACCGGAGGGGAAGACAAGAAGCAATGAGTGGAAACTCTTTAAAGAGAGAAGCCACCTGGAAGCAAGGAGGATTTTCCTGTCGGTGATCAGTGAAATGGCTTGCCTTCAGAAGTTGTGGGTGCTCCATCAGTGGAGCTTTTGACAGACAGCTATTTGTCTGGAACAGTATACGGGGGTCTCTCCTGCTTCAGCAGGCGGTTGGACTAGAAGACCTCCAAAGTCCCGTCCAGCGCTGATTCTACGTTCTAGCAAACCAAGTATGTCTGGAACGGTATACGGGGGTCTCTCCTGCTTCAGCAGGTGGTTGGACTAGAAGACCTCCAAGGTCCCATCCAGCTCTCTGATTCTACGTTCTAGCAAACCAAGGTTCTGATTTTCCACTTGGAGAGAGCTGGCCACCCCAAAACAGAGTCTTCAAGTGTCCTTACTGGGGCGTGTTTTTTTTTTCCTCCTTTGATCTCAGTTGGCCAATTTTATTTTTTTTATTTTTAAAAAGGGATATGACTCCATTGCTATGGAGAAGGTGGGCGGGTCAAGGCTGTCAGTTCAGACCAAGTCCAGGAAAGAGGACCTCTCTCGTCTCCACCAGCCCGTTCCACAGTTGTGGCCACCGACTCTGCCACTAAGGGGAGAGGGATGCTGCCAGAGGTTCCCCATCCCCCCCCATTCCTACCCACCTTGGCTGAACCGGAGACGACCCTCCCCAAAACCAGCCCCTCCTTTTTCAATTTTCTAAAGCTTCCAGCAACCCAATGGCCTGTGAAGTTCCGGGGGGGGGGGGAGGAGAGAGAGTGAGAGCGAGAAAGAACTAATAAAGTTTCCTGCCTCCCCCTCTCCGCCTTTCCAGAGGTCCATCCCCAAAGCGGGAGAAGGCCCTTTCCTCCCACCCCACCAACCCCGAGACCCACTTTCCCTTTGGAAAAAAGGCGAGCTCGTTCTCTTTCCACCTTCTTTCTTTCGCCCCCCCCCCCCAAATCCCAATTAAACCAGCTCGCTTTGGGATCCAGCCTTTCTAACTTCGCTTCTTCCTTTCCTCTCCTTCCCTCCCCCCCCCCCATCCTTTCCTGGTCCTTTCCGGGCTTCTCTTTGTTGGGCTGGGGGGGGGCAGCGGGGAGGTGGGAGACAAGCTAACGGCCCCTCCCCTTTGAAAAACCCCCCAAGCCAGGAAAAAAAGAGAGGGGGGGTGGGGGGAAAGAAGCAGATCGCCCAGCGAAGGAGCGGAGAGCTGAATGCTGTGCTGCCCTCCACGCGCAAAGACCCACAGCCCTGCCCCGGGGGGGGGGATTAAACGTCTCTTGAAATCTGCTTCTCATTTTCCGCGGGGAATTGACGTTCTCTATTCCCCCCCCCCCATCACCTCACTCTGCCGTCTTTTTAACCCTTGGGTCTATTGAACTTTCCCTCCTTCCCCCCCCCCCAAGTCCAAGCCCCCAAACTCCCTTTTCTTAAAAGCAAGCCCGCCGGGGCTCAGTTTCTCCTCTGTTGCATCTCTCTCTCTCTCTCTCTCTCTCTCTCTCTCTCTCTCTCCGGTTTCTCCCCCCCCCCTTCCTCCTCCTTTTCCTCTGCTCGGTTCCTCCCAGTTCTTCACGCTGAGCCATTTGGGGGGGGGGGCAGAGATTGGGGAACCTCGGCCAACCGTGCCAGGGAGCAAAGCGACGGGGGCGTCCCATTTCGCAGGCACAGCAGCTGCAGATGTTTCGGCGTGTCTTTCTTCGCTCACGCCCGCAGAGGAGAGTTCCCCCTCTTTTCTCCTCCTTCCAGCCCGGTTTTGCAAGCCTCGCGTACCTACGAGCAGTTGCGGGCTACAACGGAGTGCTAAAAACTCTGAATTCGCTTCGGCTCGGGCAGAATCTGACGTTTCTCTGCAGGCGATCTACTTGCTACCTGCGCCCTTCTTCTCAGTAAGTGGGATCCTCTCTCTCTCTCTCTCTCTCTCTCTCTCTCTCTCTCTCTCTCTCTCTCTCTCTCTCTCTCCCTCTTTCCTCTTTCCTCTCTCTCTCTCTCTCTCTCTCCCTCTCTTCCTCTTTCCTCTTTCTTTCTTTCTTTCTTTCTTTCTTTCTTTCTCTCTTTCCTTTCTCTTCTCTTTCTTTTTCTCTCTCCCTCCCTCTCCCTCCCTCCCTCTCTTCCTCTTTCCTCTTTCTCTCTCTCTCTCTCCCTCTCTTCCTCTTTCTTCTTTCTTTTTTTCTCTCTCTCCTTTCTCTTCTTTCTTTCTCTCTCTTCCTCTTTCCTCTCCCTCCCTCCCTCTCTTCCTCTTTCCTCTTTCTTTCTTTCTTTCTCTCTCCCCTTTCTCTTCTCTCTCTTTTTCTCTCTCCCTCCCTCTCGCTCCCTCCCTCCCTCTCTTCCTCTTTCCTCTTTCTCTCTCTCTCTCTCTCCCTCCCTCTCCCTCTCTTCCTCTTTCTTCTTTCTTTCTTTCTCTCTCTCCTTTTTCTTCTCTCTTTCTCTCTTTCTCTCTCTTCCTCTTTCCTCTCCCTCCCTCCCTCTCCCTCTCTTCCTCTTCCCTCTCTCTCTCTCTCTCTCTCTCTTCTTTCCTCTCTGTCTGTCTTTCTCTTTTCCTGGGGAAACTCAGAGCAGGTCCTTCGCTCTGCCCCCCCCCCCGACCCCCACCTTCCTCCAGCACTTCCCAAACTTCATTCGACACAGTGTTAAGCCTGGTTTGTAGGCAAGTGGGGGAGAAAAAAACCCCTCCTTTTTGTTCTGATTGCTTCTTATAAAAAGGAAAAATCTGGCTATTGTTACTGTTGCTCCTTGTCTGTAGATAAGTGGAAGAGAATATTAGCATTATTCTTGTTTATGAGGTGGAAGGTCCCCTTATTTGTATTATTATTCTTGCTTGTGGACAAGTGGAAGACCTTATTGCTATCTCTAGAGTGGAAGAACGTTTTGGTTTCTGTTTATAAAGATGGGAAAACCACTTATTCTTCCTCTTTGTAGACGAATGGAAAATCCCCGCATTGTTATTACTAATTATTATTTCTGTTTGTAGGAAAATGGAGGATGGTGAGGGTGAGGAGGGCTGATCCCACAGCCAGAGGTTTAGACTAGATTTGACATTTTGATCCAGTTATCCCACTCCTTCTCAAGGACCTGAAATACTTCTAGTTATTACATGGGTCAAGTGACTTTTATATGCACCCTCCTCGTCAGCTAAAGGGAAAGAACATTTAATGGAGGGCCATTCTCTTTCCATCCTTTTATTAAAACTCTCTTATTTCTTTCTCTTCCTTTCTTTCCCCCTTTAATCCGTTCACTGCTTCGTCTCTCGGAGGTTAAATGAAAGGTTGGAACTTAAAAAAAAAAAAAAAAAACTTCCTATAGGATGCAGCCTGTGCTGGTTTTTAGGGCCCCCTCAGAGGGTTCTTGTGGAGGGGGGCAACTGTATTGTAAAGCAAATTGGCAATTTAAGCACTTTGTCTTCCAACATGATTGATTGATGGCTTGGAAAGAGCTTTATTTTATGCCCGGCTGGAAAAGCAGGACGGTGTGTGTTGGGCTACGCTGTGCCAAACTGTGGCAACCACTCCACTCGGTCTGGTTCTGAAACGAAATGCCGAAGATTATAATGGGTTATAAAAAGAGGGAACGATAAGTTTATGACTCAATAGAGAATCACGTCCCGGCTCTCAGCGAGAAATGTTTAAGAGTTGTGTGGGACGGGGTGGGGTGGGGGTTTATAAGCATCTCAAGCAGAGATTTTGCAGATGGTGTGCACATGTGAGCTTGCCCTGTCGCACGCTGCGTCGCTGGCCACATGTGTGGCATTTCTATCTGAGATCCCAGATGCTTTTGAAAGGGATGTCTCTGGTTTTGCACATCTGGAAGGAAGGCCTCAGTCCCAAGTGATCAAACGCAAACGTCTCCCTGGTGAGCTGGGCCCAGGGGATGCCCCCATCTCTACTTCCTCAGTAGGACAAAGAGGTCAACGCTAGAAGATTCTTCTTCTTGGGCTTGGCAAGAGTTCCTCAGGCAGAGCTCATCCCTCTTTCATCTTGTTGGAGAAAGACTTGGGCATAGAGCATCTGGATCATCTGGGTCAAACACCAAAGATGGTTCTCCAAATTGCTAGACTTCCAAAATGTTGAGTTTTGGAACTCAACTCCTAGGCTTTAATAGTGGCCAGGCTGCCTCACAGGTTTTTTTCTCAACACTTCTGCAGCCTACTAGGCTGAGGAACCACTGTCTCCAGTTGTAGAACTCAAGTCTTAACGTTTGGAACATGGTTCCTGTTTTGATCGGCAGCTACTGGTTGAGGAGACCTCTTTCGCTCCTCTCTATTGCTCAACTCTTTGGCCATTTCATTTTTCCAGCTCTTTTCCTGGAATTCAGAGGCACAGAGTTGTTGTTGTTGTTGTTGTTGTTTTAAGTGCGTCTAGTTGTTTTTTCTTTAAACCTCCCGAGGGATGCCCCTGTCTCACTTTTCCAGAATGTGTTAAGAAACGTTGTTTTCAAGAAACGGTCAGTCTTGAAGGAAAATGCATTAAATCCAGGCTGAACTGAAATGTTAAACCAGAAGGTGTTCGTTTTCCTAGACCAGTTCATTTCCACAGGGGAAAGGAGTGACTTCCTCGTGTTTTGCTGACAAAACCAGGGATTTGCTGCTAACCGGTGTCTGTCTTTTGTATCCAGATTATCTGTTAAAGTGGGCAGGTAGACATGGGTTCTCTGCCAATGTGCCTGGAGGGGTGAATGCATGTGCAGTGGTGAGCATTACGGTCCCATGGATGAGGTCATTCCACTTCAAAGTGATGCTCTTTTTCAACGGCTTCCAGTCCTGATGCTCTGGAGCTTTCTGACTGGCAGGAATCTGCCTTCGGTCTTCCAACCTTTCATCTCGCAAAAGAAAAAAACAAGTCTGCAGTCCGCTCAGAGTTCTTACCGATCTTTGCAAGATCCCAGATAGGAATGAAACAGAGCATAGAACAATAGCGTTGGAAGGGACCTTGGAGGTCTTCTAGTCCAACCCCCTGCTCAAGCAGGAGACCCTATACCATTTCAGACAGGTGGCTGCCCAGTCTTTTCTGAAACACCGCCAGAGATGAAGCACCCACAACCTCTGGAGGCAAGCCGTTCCACAGGTTGATTGTCCTCCCTGTCAGGAAATTTCTCCTTCCTTCCAGGTTGCTTCTCTCCTTGATTAGTTTCCATCCGTTGTTTCTTGTCTTGCCTTCTGGGGTTTTGCAAAAAAAAAAGTTGACCTTATTTTCCAGAATAAGTTGACCTTATTTATTTGATCCTAAAACAGTCCACTTCTTTTGGAACAGACTTCTTTTGACCTGTCCTTGACTCTCTCGACACAAATTGGCTAATCCTTGGATTCTGGAGGAGAGGCTATTTCCCTCCAAAGTTGTGGGACCGGTTATTTCCCCCCCCCCCCAGGGCTGAGCAAAAAATAATGTTTTACAAATTCTCCACCTATTTCGAAATGGTAAAAGGGGGGAGAACATGAGGAATAATTATAGTTTCTTGGCAAACTAGGGCCAAGAGTCTCCACGAATGAGTAGGCGGCTATATAAATTTTCCTAAATAAATAAACAGTATGTCAACATCTCCCAGGATGGCTTGAGAAGGTAAGTAAAAAGGTGGAGCTTCTTTCTCAGCCATCATCTTGACTTTTTTGACCAGACTCCCCAGCAACTGGAGAGCTGTAGATCTTCAGGAAATTGGGTTCAGTCCATGAACCCAATAAACTTGCTTTGTGAATTTCCATTCCTCATCCTCACACAATTGTATAGATTATGGCTGGTTGCACAGTGAGACAGATGTTTGGACTGGATCTGACCATTTTTACCCACCTATCGAGACCTTCCTAAGGACCTGGGATAGGCAGATGTTGCTGTTTGATGGTGTTTGAGGTATTGTTGCAGAATGTAAGCTACTCCTAGTAAAGCTGCCTTTTGCAATTGACTGATGGTGAATTTGTCAGTACCAAAGATGATGATGATAATCTCCTCCTCCTCCTCCTCCTCCTCCTCCTCCTCCTCCTCCTCCTTTTTCTTCTTCTTCTTCTTCTTCTTTTTCTTCTTCTTCTTCTTCTTCTTCTTCTTCTTCTTCTTCTTCTTCTTCTTCTTCTTCTTCTTCTCCTCCTCCTCCTCCTCCTCCTCCTCCTCCTCCTCCTCCTCCTCCTCCTCCTTCTTCTTCTTCTATTTCTTTTCTCCTTCTTCTCCTTCTCCTCCTGGCTAAACACTAGTTGAATCCATGCTGTTGACAGTAGTTATCTAGACTGATCAATCATTCCTTGCAGCAGTTGCTTGCAGTCCAGTACTTCTCTTGAAACTGAAATTGTTGATAAGCATTTGAAACTGAGCAGAAAAATGGGCCTACTTTTCTTCCAAAAGCACCTTTTCTTCCAACATGCAGCTTGGCTCACTTTCTGAACTACCTGTAACCAGATTCATATGAGCTGGATGAGCTGGGTCTGCTGAAAAATTAGAGATGCCTCTTTGCTTGCCTGCTGATTCAGTTTTAGGATCTGCTTTTCAGTTATGCCAAGCTTCTCAATGCAAATATCTGCTAAGCTTGTGACGGTAATCCTTTTAAAAAAATTGAGTCTCCTGTTACTGTATTTTGAGTCATCGTTCAGAGATGCAGTAAGAGGAAAGTGGGGAGGGGGGGGATGTAGAACTTGAAGGTGTCTTTCCCTAGATGGAGCTTTGATTGAAGCAAAGTGGAATCCTCTACCCTATATTCAAGATTCCGCTGTCCTTCCCTTAGTGCAAATGACCGTCCTGCACCCGTCTTAAAAAGCTAAGCAAAGTCAGATCTGGATAGGAGGCCACAAGGAAATCCAGGGCTATAAACTAAAGGAGTTATTGGAGAGGGCAGGTGGAACAGTGTTTTTCGTAATGGCAACCCCTTCTGTATCCATGCCAGGAAATGTCACAGGCCTGTCATTGAACACCAGAAG